AGCAACTCTGTGAGACCCTGTCTTTAAAAAAAATACAAAATAGGTCTGGGGATGTGGCTCAGTGGTTGAGTGCCCCTGAGTTCAATCCCCTGTACTAAAAACAAAACAAAACAAAAAAACTGGAAACCAGAGGAATGGATCTTTAGGGGTGAGATTTCAGGTGTCACTGTGCTGGGGCCTGCTGACCTCACGACTGTGTCCCTCAAGGGGCTAAGGCCTTGATGACTTCCTGTGTCCAGAAGAGATGCAGAGAGGGCAGGGGACGGTTGGGTCAGTATTAGTTAGGGAATGGGGTGGCAGGATGCAGTCTCTGCTGGTCATGGGCCATGGCAGGCACTTCTCCACTGAATTCAGCAACAGTCCCCCAGCCCCCCAGGTGATGGCTGCACCACTTGCTTGGCCCTCTCCCTCCTGATTGCGGAGGGCAGGGAAAATAACTGGGAATTGCAGCACGATAGGCCCAAGGGCTTAGTCCAAAGCTGAGTGCCCAGAAGGGCCCCTGGAAGTGTCAGCTGACCATGCCTCTGTGGCCTGGGTCCTTGGCAGAATCTTCTGGAGAGAAGCTGCAGCCGGAGGTTGTGTTCATTCTCAACTCCGTGGGGCCTCGTCATGAAAAAACATTTCTAACTTGGGTACCTTTCCTGCCAAAATAAGTTAAAAACAAAAAAGTTGCGGCAATGAAGCCGTGCTGAGCCAGAGCAGGGCCTGGCTCCCCCCACCCCCACCTTCCCGGTGCTGTCCCCTCCTGAGCACACCTGCAGGGGGCGGGGAGGGGCGGGGCGGCTGGCTCCAGCAGTCCTGGCCCCAGGAAAAGCCCAGGCACCAGCCGATCAATACGGCTGCGGAGCCGCTGAGCTGTTATTCACGCCAAAGGGCCTTGTTTGGATGGAGGGAAGGAGGGGGCACGGGTTCACGGAATCAGAGTCCAGAGCTCTGCTTCCCGCATCTCCCCCTCTCGCTGGGCCGCCTTCGTTATTTATGTAGCAGGAGTAAGAGGCGATTCAGGAAGAGGAAGTGCTTTCCCCACAGCTCTTCAGGAGCTCCTGCAGCTGCAGACAGGGGTGGTGTGTGACCTGGGTGGGGACCCTGTCATTCCCCTTCTCTGGCTTCTTCTCAGGTGCAACAAGGTGAGGCCAACCTGCCTGGGCCCCTCCCTCTGGGCTCTTCACTGGGATGAGCCTACAGCCACCTTCTACCCCCTGGTGGTGAGGAGTCCCTTGTCTTCACCTGTACACCCTCTGGTCTCACCCCATTTGTCCTGCCATCTTGGTTTTGCCCTACCTGTCCCTGGTAAACTGGCTCTGCAAAGTTCCCATTGCCACTGACCTTGGACCCCAAGGGAGCTGGTAGCTTCTCAGTGTCTTTCCACAGCACTTCCCTGTCTATGTCACTGGGGACTGCTCACCAGAGAGCCTCCTGTCTTCTGGAAGAACGGTTTCTGCTAAAGTGTGGAGGTCGTCCTGAGGGAGGTGGGTCATCATGCGGTTAATTGGTCTGGACTAAAATGGAGCTTCCAGGTGCTCCAGACCCCAGCAAGTCCACCCTTTCTGTCTCTGTAGAGATCAGGCCTCACCTGGCTGCTGCCTGCTGGGCTGGCCCAGGGCTCCTGCAGGACTCTCTGTCCTCAGGTGAGTGGTGCTGAGACGCTGTACTGAGCAGGAACACGCACCCCTCATGTAGTCACCTAAGGGTTCTGGGGATGGAGAGTGTGATCAGAAATAGGATGGGGAAAAGGCATTCCCTGATCCCGAGCAGAGCAGTCTACCCTGAAGTGCCCATGGACCAGGCCTCTGCGACTGGCTCTGTGCTTGATGTCAACTCATGGAAGCTAGCAGTTATGGCACGAAGAATTGCCACTGCCTTCTGCTTCGGAGACCATGATGGAGCTTTGTCCCTTCTGGGCCCTCAAGCTCACAGCCCATGGAAGAGCCAATCAGTTCAGCAAGGGTGAGTCACAGAAAGAAAAAAGGGTGGAAGGTCAATCCCTGCAAAGTGCTGCTCCCGTGCCTGTTAGGGAAGCAGTGTTTGTAATGAGCTCGGGTTGACTAGACAGAGGCGCCAGGACTCCCCACCACGGCCTCACTGCGCGGGCCACGGAACACACACAAGTCCTCCTGTAAGACCGCTCTACTCGGTCTCACTGTAGGCCACAGTCCTCCAACCACACACTCAGCTAAAAGGGAAGGCAAGTGGCCCACGGACTCACAGCAGTTCTTTTGAAACTGGCGCTGGCCACAACCAGCCGGCCATCCTTGGTGCTGGACTTCCCCTCCAAGCACACGTTTCTCCCAAGAAAGCCACGCTGGCTCCCAAGCACAGAGTGGCCCGCTAGGCTAGCAGTGCACACCAAAGAGACAAGGAAATCATCGCTTGTAGTTAATTCTCAACTACGTAGACAAACCGCCATAAATATTTATGATGGGAAATTTCATTATTTAAAAATTCTACTCTAAATTTCCAGCTAACTCCATGAAGAATGCCTGCTGACCAGGTTGCAAATTAAGAACAATTATTTTTCTCTTCTGCATTTAAATATAACTTACAGCTAAAGTCATTTAAAGGGGGTTAACATCAACCTTAATTAAATATTAAAGTGTGCCTGGACCTGCCGCTATTGTTGCCCCTTCGAATAAGATATAACCTATTTTTGACAAGTTTTCATCTTTCTCTGTGGAAGACGCTACATGAAACCAAATCAGTGGCAAAGAGGAGAGTAATGAATAATCTATTTCATATTCCAACAGTACCCAGAGCTCGGAGTGGAAAAATATTCAGTCAGATGATGGCAAGAGGCTGCTGAGGTACCACATGACACAGCTAATGTTTAAATAATAATAATAAAAAAAGCGATAAACAAATCATTAGCCCTTAACAGTTGTTTAATGCAATTTGTTAATGAACGTAATGTGGGGACTAATAATGAAAGAAAATAAAAACGTCTAAACAGGCGCCAAGTTGCTGGCGATGCGCAATTATTTCCTTGTCAAGTTTTTATGATTTAATGAGCCCCTCTGGGACTGACGGCTGTCAGTCAGTCGTGACTTTTTGACACCATTACAACTTCAAATACAGCAGCAGGCAGGCTGTTTTCCTCGGATTTGAAATACTGAAATGATCTGACAGTTTTAAAGAAAAGATGTGCAGGGAAAAAAAACGGAGAGAGAGAGGGGGAGAAAGACAGTGGCTTTTCCTTTCTTTCTCCCCCCCCCCCCTTCTTCCACGGGTTGGTAATCTCTGGTTGCTGTTTGGTAATGAAAACCCAATCACCGAGGTCATTATCTGATGAGGTTTTTGGAACAGGCAGCCTTTTTCCCCCTCTTTATTTCTTTACTTAATGATAACCCTCAATGGGCCTGCCCCGCATGGGACGGCCAGAGCCGCACAATTTTGTTCACCATTAATTTCAGCCTTTGAAGCTCAGGGCTCAGAAGCAGTAGCAAAGCAAACCCCCCACCAAGCTGGTTCCAAAATAAGACAATCCAGCCTGCCTGAAACAGAATAGCAAATGGCCTCCCAGCCCAGGCCCGGCCGCTGACGTCAGCCGGCTGCATTTGTAGGCTTTCGCCTTCAACACGGAACATTTAAAACTCTTTACAACTTAAGAGACTTTAATTAAATTGCTTTTGATTCTGGAGCAGGGTAGCATCCGCTTTATTTATTCTGCCAGGGAAACTGTTTAGTCTGCATGAATTTTATATGGCCAGGGCTTCCTTCTCTTCTTCCTCCTCCACGCCTTCATCTTCATCTCCCCTCCACCCTCCCGTCAAGCATCATTTTTAACAAAGGCTGCCAACTTTGGGAGTATTCAACAATCACAGTCTACATATTAGGTGCCTAGAACCTGACCTGCTTCAAACGTGTGGACTGTCTTCCTTCCCCAGTGTAGCAGGAGGGAGGGCATGCACCTGGCCTCCCTTGGGGCCCTTTGAGTCTCCCTTGCAGCATCCAGGAGGGCCAAGAATGGGCACAAGGGACCTTCACCAGCTTCCTCACCAAGCGCTCGCTGGCCTGGTCTAGGTGGTTGCTGTGGAGGGGGTTTGGTGGAGCTAATAGGTCGAGGGTTCTCTGTTTATATCAATCCCAAGATTGATCTGGGGCAGACATAGGACATGGTAGGGAAAAAACATTGAGAAGTGAGCAGGGAATGAGCTCCTTCTTTCTCATCTGCTTCAACAGGAACACAGGGATTCAGTGAAATACCTAGGAGCCAGCGAGTAGAGGTCATCAGCTCAATCTTGCTCGCTAGGTGGCTGTGGCCAGGGTGCACGGAGTGTGAAGGGTGGGGGCAGAGGCGCAGCTCAGACAGGTCACGCCCTTCATTAAGGTCAAGTGGAGTCACCAAAGGGTCCGTGCACTTCCCAATGATCCCTGTTCCAGAATGAGAAGGGGTTGTGTTTCCTTGCTCTCAATAGTTTCTTCCATGTGTTGGGAACATCCAGAATTGGGATGTCAGGATGAGAGATCCTCGCTGAGATGGGTCCCTTGAGCTGACAGGAACAGCAGCACAGCTTCCTGCTCCTTTGCTGTCCTACTTTGCTCAGCCAAAATCCCATCCCATCCCTGACATGGAGGCTGCAGCTTTATTTACACAATACTAAATGATTTATCCGAACACATGCAGGCCCTGGCCCGTTTTGATAAATATGATTCCTCTGGTGGGTTGTGAAGTCTGCATTTCCTCTCCAACTAATAGCTCTCTTCCGAATTGGGGAAAAATATCAAGTGCCGCCTTCGGATGATCTTGATCCACGAGCACAGGCGGTTAGCATGTTTTATGAGGAGAACAGGTTTGCTTTTCGAGGATTCAAAGCGTCCAATTATATTCAAAAGATAGTAGGGACCCCATAAGTGCCTATGAAGTCTTAAGAAAAACACATTTTGCTTTATGACTAGGGGGAAAATGACCTCAGCTTGGGCAACTTTTAAGCTCGATCACAAATGAACTCATTTTGAACGCAATTCCCGGTTACCTCAGAGAGAAAGAAAAATCACAGAGCATGTTGGAGGTTGGCATACAGTGAATTCAGGAAAGGCTTTACTAACATTTGTTGGTAAAAAAACCCAAGTGGTCCTTTTGTAACTCTCCGCAATCCCTCATTCTTTGAAAGGAGGTTAGTGAACATTTTCCACAAAGTTTATTTCTAGTGGATCCTCCTATAGGACTCCCCCAGATTTATAACACATTGGAAATTTCACACCGACAGTCATGTTCTTGCTCTTACTGAAATATTCATGTTCTCTTTACATACTGGAATGGATGTGGAGAGAACCTTGTCAGACCTTTTGCATGTTTGAGGGCTGCTTTTGGCAGAGCAGATATTAAAACTGAAAGGATACAGAGATGCTTACACGGGTCAGGGAAGATGAGGTCACCATTAAATACTGTGCCAGGGTTCCTTTTGCCAGCAAATTCTGGGGGTCAGTGTGATTTGGGGAAGGCAGGGAAATATTTCTTGTGGCTAGTAACCAAAGTTGAGAAAAGTAGATATTGGGCAGGTTCAGCAAAAATATTCTTGGGTTAAAAAAATTATGCAATAGAAAAACAGGGAAAGTGCTAAGTCAATTTCCTGTACAAGTGACATTAAATACCTTCCTTTGCAATAAAAGTGCTCAGGCAGGTTGACTGTATTTGTTAAGCCTGAGAAGGGACAGGGCTGGCTTGCAGGAGCTGGGCCCTGGCCCTGGCCCCTGGTTTTCTTTGCATTTTTATCCTTGGACATCATAGAAGGACTTTTTGGTGACAAGAGATATGTGACAGACAGAAACTCTAGTGACTGACTCATCATGCCCTCTTCCAAACCATGACCCCTCACATGTCCGCAGGGTAAGGAAGACTGTCACCAAGGTTATTTTGGACAACAGATGACATTACCCAAAGGCAAATAAACATTCACCTTTGCCTATAAAAGCAAATCTGGGTGAAGACAAATCTAGAAAAGGAAACCAACCCACATGCAAACAGGAATAGAAAATATTTTTACACTCTTTGCACTTTAGCTGAACAGTGGTGAGGGAGAGAGAGGGTCACCCAGGGCCTGTCAGCGCAAAAGAATGATTCATGTGACCATTTTGTCTTAATTACTCAGAACAAGCCTCGGTTGCTGTTTATCAAGGGAGAGCTGATACATCAGTGTCCTCGGACAAAAAAAGTGACCGCTGTCAGGATGGTGACGACCACGATGATTCCCAGGAGGACGAGCAGGATGCGGTTCTGGATGATTCTGGGAGAAAGAAAAGAAAAACAACGTGGCAGATGAACGGAGGGCATTCCGACAACCATCAGTCAAAGACCAAGTTGGCTAATGAAACCGTAGCCTCGCAGGTCAGGGGCTGTGTGTGTGTGTGTGTGTGTGTGTGTGAGAGAGAGAGAGAGAGAGAGAGAGAGAGAGAGACAGAGAGAGATCAGGCAGCTTTGGTTCTAGGAACAGCTCCAGAGCGCTTGTCACACGGCACTCTGAGAAACACGGCAAAGTTAACGCGAGTCAAATGGCTTTCTAGGCTCCGAGAACCATGTAGTCTCTTTAAGTGATCAAGGGCCCCAGGTGAGCTTCTCTTTTTAATTTAAAATGTGAGACAAGCCTCATTTTTTTTTGCACTGTTTCTCGTGAAAGGAAGAGATTCCAAGGAAACATATGTCAGTAAGGCACTTACCTGTGCAAAAATACCTGGGGAAAAGGAAAAGAGAGACTTTGCAAGAAAGGACAGGATTAAGAAGCAAGTGTCAAACTTGCAGCTGAGGCTGTGAAACCGGCAGCTGAGGCTGTGAAACAGGCACCTGTCACCGTGGCTCGCGCTCCATCGAGCCAGGAGGAAACCTTACGTTGGCTCCACAGCGAGCAGAGGCGGAAATGAAAAATAATACAAAGTCCTTGAGGTGCCTGCCGCGTGTCTGTGGGTGGCCCTCACCTCCCGGGATCGTCAGCTGCCTCGGTCTGGCCCTGCTGAGCTGACCTCAGAAGGAGCAGCGAGGACGTGGCTCCCGCAAGCCTGCAGAGAGCTTCCGATGAGGTTGTTTCATAATTTGTTACCTCATTCGGAGAAAAGAGGTCGCACATCAGAATGCTTTGTTGAGACTTTCAAAGGGAACCTAGGTCAACCAGCCTCGCCCACGCTTGCTCGCACAGAGCCACACAGAAATAGAAACCCAGAGTGGCAGCCGTCTAGCGGGCCACCCACCCTGCTTGAAGCCCCACGCCAACTCTGCCCAGCAGTCCCGCAGCTCCAGGGGTGGGAAGGAGGGCTGTGCCTCATTCCAGATGCCGGACACTGGACAAGGGTCCTCTGCAGGGAGGACCGTGGTGGGACCAGGCCAGGCCTCCAACTGAAAGGGACCTACTCTTGCTTTGTGTCATCACAAAGAAATCCTGGCAGGACATCTGCAGTCTTTTCTAGCATCTGGAGGTTTTTCTTGGAAGAAGGATGACCCCAGGTTGGAGCACGGGCAGGAGTCCTGCTCACCACCCCCTGCCTCCCCACATCTAAACGGACGGATGGAAACTGTCACATCAGAGCGACCTGCTCCCTTGTGGCCCCTAACAGGACCAGCTCCCACTCCTCCTGACAGGTTACAAAATGATCACATTTGCTGACACGTCTTCCGCAAAACTGCCTTAGTACCTCTGTCCGCTTTCCTCGCAGGAGATGAATGGTCTGCTCTGTCCTCATTTATCACGCGAGGCTCGCTAAGATCTGTCTCCCTCATTTCTTCCCTTCCCCACAAGAAAGTCTGCGCCCCGACATTAATTCTTCTGTGATGACAGCTAATTCGGACTTAACAGGCCATGTTTACTCACGAGGAGGGAAGATTCTCCGTCCCCCAAATAAGTAAATAAAAGCAGGGCTCCGCGACTTATTGAAGTGAGGCTAATTATGAACACTGATCGGCGCTACTTGGTGGCTTCATTTAAGACTCAAAGTGATTTTTCCCCCTTTTCTCTGCAAGGGACAGAAGCCTTCAGAACAGTCCCTCCACATCCCATTTGCCCGAGCTGCTGTCAAAATCTCTATTTACCACCGTCACCCGCATCAGACTTGCAAAGGAAATCAGCAAAATTGAAACTCAGCAGTGAAACAGATTAAAAACATGAAAACTCTTTTTAAATTCTGCCGTAAGTAATATACAGTAGTGTCTCTGGTACGGCTTGGTTGACAACCATTTTATTTGTGGGTTGAGGGCCCCAAGGCATCCATGATGCTAATTTATAAAGGATTAACTGTGGGTGCTACTTGTTTAATCTGAGGCATGGTTAGGAACCTGAACACAAAGCAATCCCTAACTTCTCAGCTCCTCCTGGCCTTCCTAATTGGGCTTCTCCACTGCTTGTGCATCCACAGGGACTGCCGGCTTCCTGTCACCACCCTCTCTGCTGCTTCTGTGGACCTACCTGCAGAATTCACCTCTGAAGCCTCAGCACACCACACGGTGGTTGATACTCAGGGATTCAAAAGAGAACTGTCCAAAGAATGCTGGTGGAAGGAAGCTGCCCCTGGTGATCATGATGATCATTCCAGGGCAGTGGAGAAGGGAGCTGAGCTCCTTCAATAGGCAGGAAAATGTAATGACGTCTGCATGGAAATGGTACGACCAGCTCCGCAGATGGGACTGTAACCATGGCGCCTTCTCAGAGACAACTGGGTCTTTTCCCTGAGCCCAGGAGAAGGCCTGGTCCTTAGGACCACAGGTGTGTGCTGCTGAGGAGGTTTCTTCCCAGGGAAAGGATTCCAGATACTGGGGACAAGGGGGACCAAGGGGCAGAGAGAGTTGGAACAGAGAGGGTGGTTAAGGGAGCATGACTGGCCGGTCATCAACCCAGCTTTGGACCTCGAAAGGGCTGGGCCTCCTGAAAGACCAGAAAAGTGAGCTGTGAGGGCACTTGAGAGGACACATCTGAGCCAGCTGTGAGGGAGGAAGCAAAGGTTGGCAGTGGTGGCCCCATTGGTGACCGAAGCCCAGAGTAATTACAGCCGTGAGCAAAGCAGAAAGGAACAGTTTGGAGAGAATCCGAAAAACAAGCCAGGAGAGGGGCTCCAGCTAGAGAGATCGAGAAACTTCCTCCTAACTTTGGGCAACGGGGCCTTGATGTTCAACTAGGTCTGCAGCAAGCAGTCTTAATCTCCCTTTTGAAAATGCAAAGTGTGTTTACCCAGTAAATAATTTAAGAAAGAGTATACACTTGAAAGAAGACATCCATTGAAACAGCCAGGCTAAATGCCTCCAGGCAAAAACTTGTGCATTTGCATGCTGCATTCTATTAAGTGAGCACACTGTGGCTTTAAAAGAATGCAGAGCCAAATTAAAAGGAATGTGGGCCCGAAACATCAAAAATTCTCCAAGTTTACATTATGAATCACAGTGCTGTTGATATAAGATGAATTAACCATTTACTTTGAGGCTGAACTCACAAAGTACTATTGAAAATACTGATCCCCGTGTGGAACCCAAGGAGCGGTTAATCTTTCCATTGCCAGTCTCCTCCCCTTCTGGAAAAAGGCTCCTGCGTGTGGCAGCCGGAATCAGAGACTGCTGCTTCAAGCGGAGGAGGCAGGCGGGCCACCTGACACGTGGCCCTGCTCGAGGAGCGAGGAGCGCAGGGATCCCGATCCCACTGTAGCGGGTGCTCCTCACAGTCCCCAGTCCCCCTCCACTTGAACCAGACGCTGACCTGTTCCTTGGTGCGAGGTGTGGCATGGGACTTGCTTTGGTCAATAAAACGTGGGCAAAAGTGCAGAGCATCACTCTCAGGAGGCACCGGAGTTACTGTAGGGCTGGGCCCTCCAGTGGCTCTCCCCTTGTCTTCTGGTTTGGGGGTGCTATATGCTCCAGAGAGCGCAGTTGCATGTTGGTGAGATCCCTTTTGCCCAGGATCCCCAGTCTTCACATGCAGGAGCACCAGTGAGATGTGGGGGTTGTTTGTTACTGCAGCATAACATCAACTATCCCAAGTGCTCCTCTCCTCAGATGAGAGGAGCCTCTAGCCAAGCCCGGTGAGGCTCTTGCTAATGTATTCCAGAAGCTAGGAATGATGAGGGTTGACTTTTCTTTCCCTGAAAGATAGGTTTTTGCTTCTCGGTTTTCAAAAGCTGGGATCCTTTTCTATCCACTTGGTCACAACATTTCCCACATGAGGTTTTCACAAGCCCCACTGGGCATTCTGCTTCCTGCGGGTGGCAGGTATACACTGACTGCATTCATCTCTTCTCTCCATTCCAAACATCCGATGCCATCCTTGGCTCCTGGACTGGAGCTGGACCTCCCTAAAAATGGCAGTACACTCCATGCCCCTGGCCACAGCCAACTAGACAAGGAGTAGGCTCGTGACCTAAGCCAGGCCAACAGAGTGAAGCTCAGCATTCCCTTGCTGGGAATGCTAGGTCATCTGGGCAGTTTGGTGTGTGGATGTTAGGTCTGGTTCTGCGGCAGCTATTTTGTTCCCATGAGGGAAGTCAACCTACGAAAGAAGTTGACTCATAGAGGGCAAGAGAAACAGAATTCCATCCATGAAGACACGGTGACCCTCATGGTAAGACAATGGTAAGCCATCCTTCCTTTGAACTTTGACTCACATGAGAAATTTAATTTCATTTTTTCAAGATTGCTTGATTTGGGTCTTCTATCATTTGTGACCAAAAATCATTTTTAGGTTGAGTCTCCCTAATTCCAAAATCAAGTCTTTTATCTGTGGCATATTTTCCCTACCTTTTCCAAGAACAGCCCAATCCTGACCCTCTCTCTTATATTGCATCTGTCTTACCACTAAGCTAACCCCATGGTGTTATGATTTCTGCTTCTGTAAAGTTTTCCCCAGTAAGAAGTGAGTCTTGCATGGGTTGGCATACATACTCTCAAAAACAAAAACAAAAACAAAAACAAACAAAAAAAAGCTTGTGTTGGCACCATGACACATGCCAGTAGATGCCAGTAGTCCCACCTATTTGGGAGGCTGAGGCAGGCAGATTGAGGCTAGCTTGGGCAACATAGAGAGACCTGCTCTATGTGGAAATTGGGAAGGGAGTCTAACTGTCCAGCTGCATACGCTCATCCGGAGGTCACGTAGCCAGCGCTCTCCGGGTTCCTAAGGGCTGCAGGCCCAGCATCAGGATTTAGCCTCCCTCCCTTCCATTGAATATTTTAGCTCTTTCACAAGCTGCATCCACTCACTGGAGAGAGCACGTGCTGTATGGCAGCATCCTGTCCTGCCGCTGCCTCTGGCCTGGCTGATAG